CGTGCCTGCCCGATGTGGGCGCTTTCGAATGCCAAGTGCCGTCTGGTAGGGGTACTGCAATAGCGTAAGGCCCCACCCCTTCCTTTCGACACGCTGCCTTGCGTTCTCCGAGCCCCCTTCCAAGTCTCCCTGGGCTCCCCAGACAGCTCTGCACGAGGCGTGGCGGATGGCCAGAAGACTTCGGGAAGCGACAGGGAATGCACAGAAATTGCCGACGGCGACAACGACGCAGACGACGACGGCGGCGGCGGCGGCGGGGGAAGCTGCGGCGGGCGAGGACGGGTGTCAGGGAATAGTACGGCGGGCTGCCAGGCTCGATGGTCTGACTTCCGTGAACAATCGGCTCACTATGGGGCCCCTGGGCTCCTCACGGGGTCAAGTCGGATCTGCGCTTTCCAGCCAGATCGTTTTTTTATGTCCCCGGGGCTCGACGAAGGGGTGGGGGGCTTCTGCGGCCCCCCAAATCAACGAATCGACACCGAATGTGTGATTACTTCCGATGGTTTTTCGGGGGGCATTCTTTTTCAAGATTTTGGGGCCTATTTGGGAGAACCGAACACCATGCCGTGGCATGGCGCTGGAAGTAATGACGCCAGCGCTGCAGCAGGAGCGCGATTCGGAACGAGCGGAAGCGCGGAAATGAGACCAGCGCTACAGCGGGAGCAAGATTCGGAGGACGCGTAGCCTGACGTAGCATGGCGTGGCGAAGCCCCAAAGTGTGGTGGGGCTTCTGCGGCCCCAAAAATCGACGAATCGGCACCGCATGTGTAATCACACCCGATGGTTTTTTCGGGGGGCAATTTTTTAGATTTTGGGGCCCATGTGGAAGGATCGAAAACAATGGAGTGGCATGGCGCTGGAAATAATGACGCCAGCGCTGCAGCGGGAGCGCGATTCGGAACGAGCGGAAGCGCGCAAATAAGGCCAGCGCTGCAGCGGGAGCACGATTCAGAACGAGCGGTAGCCCGAAAATGAAGTCAGCGCTTCAGCGAGAGCAGCATCTTGGACCAAAGCCCAATCGAAACCCCGTTTCCCGGGAATCTTGTGTGTAAAAAACCAGTTAGCGGCGGGGAGCCGAACATTTCCCGGACGCCACCAGGGGAGGAATTGGGAGTAGTAGTCATATCGAGAAATTCTGGATGAGAAGGAGGAGGAGGAGGAGGAGGAGGAGGAGGAGGAGAAAGAAACATGAGAAAAGACAGAAAAGAGGAGGAGAAAGAGGAGGAGGAGGAGGAGGAGGAGGAGGAGGAGGAGGAGGAGGAGGAGGGGGAGGAGGAGGAGGAGGAGGAGGAGGAGGAGGAGGAGGAGGAGGAGGAAGAGGACTCTGCCTTATTGCGAAGGCCTTACGGCCAGTGCCGCCGACCCTGAGATCGACGAATATGAAAACGAGGGGGGGGGCAGGAGGAGGAGGATGAGTGGGAGGTGGAGGAAGTTTAGGACTCTGTTGGAGGCTCCTTGGGGCGTCTCGGGGCGATCTTGGGGGCCTGTGGAGTTGTCTGGGAGCTTCGGGGAGCGAAAGAAACGAGAACTCAAGAGTCTGTGCAAAACGGACGAGAATCGAAGGGTTTTGCTTGTTTGGGCCTTCGTGGGATTGCGCCTGGAGGCATTTCGCGCTGTCTTGCAGGCCTATGGGGCCGTCCAGAGGCTGCGAAGGCGTCTTGCACAGATCGTTCGGCGATTCAACGTTTTCTTGAACTGTCTTGGGGGTATAACCAAGCTGTGTCCCCAATCCGTAGGCGTGTGAGGACACCACGCAGCTCGAAGAGCTGCGGCGACCGTTGTGTGGCGGTTCCCACTTATGATACGCAACACATGCAATTACGTAAACATGTAATGTAATCCCACATATATGTAGATAGTGTAACTGGAGAGTAGAAGACACCAGCCCAAAGAAGAACACAACATAAACCAATTGATGACACATGTGATCCAAATAATAACCATTGAGAGCGGTTATAAACCATGGTCGGATAAATTGGGTGCCTGTGGTTTCTTGTGTCGGTGGTCCAGCGCACGCTGCCGCATGCTTGCCATAGCCAACACCATTTTTGTCCAACTGGTCGTGGTCCTCCTGGTGAGGTCCTCTGTCGGCCAGCCCAGCCGGCGGGTGAGGTCAGCCGTTGGTATCGCGATACCCTGCCGGAGGTCGGCGTTGGCTGTGCACACCCAGTACATGTGGTCGAGCGTCGGGACGTGCTGCTCACCGCAGTGGTCGCAGGTGGTCGAGATCTCCTCGCCTTGGTTGGACTGCAGC